ACAAGATTATGAGGACCACCGTCCTTGAGACAAATGCTCTATTAATTTACATTTATATTATCCTCTTTTACATTTTCAAATTGTCTAATACAGAAAAACACTTGAAATGCAAATACTGTCACATCTACATATAGAATATTTTGGTTGAAACAGTATTTATTTCTTATAGTTTAAACATATACGATTATGATACAAAAACATGATATAATACAGGATTGCAAAAGAAATCAAAGACCTTTCCTGTAAATAAAATCTTGTCAATATGTTTTCTTTCATCTTAATTAAAATTATAATTTAAACTTCTTGGTCATACATAATAAGTTGCCTGTAAGTGTCAATTTTGCATTTAGCATGCGATATTCTCCGAGAATTCTGAAAAATAATAACATCATAAACAGTGACGATAAAATCCGTGTGTGTCACAATTCAGATAATTTCAGAAAGTAATGAAGCTAAATTGGTGTTCATTGATTGAAAGTACATCTGTAAGAGTTTATTCATTACACTTTTCCAAATACTTCTTATCTTATCAAAACTGTAAGAAATTTTGATTTAAAGCTTACGAAAAGTGAAAAAGTTGTATAAACCTCCTTTTTCTTATTCTATATGCGCACTTGCAAGCTTCAGAAATATGATTTATATTGATATTGAACATTTATATTTGTTTTAAATCAAAAATGATTATAATTAAAAAATGATTAATTGATGTACTTTGCTCAAATATTGAAAATAGCTTCTCAGTCGCTTTATATAAATATAACTTAAACATGTTTTGACTTTACACAAAGAAAATATGTTATTGTTTTAAGCACCACACAATAGGTAGAAACAAAATTAATATATATAAAAAAAATTATATAGTGTCATCAAAAAACTGGCAGTTTTTGGTTTTTTTTTTTTTTTTTAAGAAAATACTTTAATGGACCTGTAATATGGATAAATAGTTTATTCATTTTATTAATTTCTTTTTTCAAGTTAGACATATTCAGTAAGAATTTTATAGATTGCAATGAATTTCTTTGATAAAACTATTTAACTCAAGGATGGGCAGAGTATATCTTTAAGGATTCTAGATTTTAAATGGCAATTCATGCCTTTAAAATAATCAAATTCTTATGCCTTTAATTAGATCTAAATGAAAAAATCATATGAAATAACGACAAGATCAAGACGTTTCTTAATTGTTTTTTAACAATATACAAAAATACATTTACACAGATGCAATTTACTCATTGTAAACGTAAAGTTATTATACAGCAATTACATAAATACACAAACAAACAATGTAGCTCTAAATAATAATAATCATAATAATAATTTTTATAATAATAATAATAATACCTTATCAAAAGTTGCGACATCACAACACAAAATAATAAAACTTTAAAAAAATTCAACTTCATGATAAATTATTGTTTTTCTTAAATAAGGATTTTAATGAGTTGATTCATTGTATCATGGGTGTAATAAATTTTCTTCTTAGGGAAACAAGAAGGTTTAAAAATAACTTTTAGTGTTTTTGTATGAACATTGATGGCTAATTTTAAGTGTACGACGAGTGCAGGTATTTGGCCGAAAAAATGCAAGAGACATAAGTATCAAAAATAGTTATGTACTATAACTAAGGACTTAATGGATATCTAAGCTAATTGTACTATTATTGTCTTTATCTATAGTTATGAAAATAACATCAAGTACCACGACATTGTATCTCGTGGCCACGAGATAGCACGACTTAGTAACTCTTGGCCACAACATAGTATCTCGTGCCCACGAGATAAATAAAAACACACACGTCACCTTTTTGCCACCGTAGTTACTCAATTAAATGCTGATCTATTTTTTACAGAATACTACAAGTTTTAAAAGAATATTCCTATGTGCGGTATTCATTAACATAGAATCATGATTGAATTGACATTAGCTAGTACGTACTATACTCTCTATATCTTGTTTCTATGTTTCATTCTATCAGTATTAAGAAATTGACAATTAAATAAGTAATGATATTCAACTCCAAATGAGCTAGTATTGCATAAGTTACTCTAGATTCTCTTGGTATATGACAAAATCTACCGGACTCAACAGGCAATTTATGATTCAAACATCTAAACAGTGTCTTTCAAATAACGCTCTATGTAAACCCTTCTTGCTACAATTAACAATGTATCGGTGTGGCTCTGTGTCAATAACTTTGCTATACGCAAATTATGAAAGTGTTCAAGAAAAGGGCGAAAAATAAATACGTCAGCAAAAATAAACATTCTAATAACATAATGTTCTTTGAAAATCTATAACTTGTGAAAAAAAGTAAATATTTCAAAAATAATGTTTTTAAAGACATGATCTGTTGAAAAATCGTTGTTCAGAATAATTGACGACAAACCATGCCAATTTGAAAATGCACCAAATTAAACATCAAATATTTGTGAAAACAAATTGAGAAATATTGTAAAATCTTTACATGATACAATTAAAAAAACATTTCTTTTCTGTAAAATCAATTTCTATTTTATCATTGAAAATGCATTAATTTTAAGAAAATTGTGAAATACGAACTTATTTACAAATATGAGCATAAGATACGACGTCCCTCGTCCCCCGTCTTAGGGAAGTATTAAATGAAGAATAAAATTTTGATCAATGCTAGATCTGCACAAATGCAACAATAAATTTATTTAATAATGAAATAAAATGAAATAACTCCCATGTAGCGTTTGTGTCAATAGAATAGGAAAACATTTATGTGGTTATCAATATTTCAAAACAAAAAAATGATACAAACCATTCAGAAAACTGATAAAATAGTGAGGAAATGGTCAGTGTAAGAAACTGGAATCACGGTATCTGTGCCAAGTATTTACAATATCCCTTGATCTATGAAGCAGTTATAGACCGGCCTATAACAGACTATGTTAATCTTTCACCTCTAGGTGTGACATTGACCTTGGAGGTAGGGATGCAAGTATTGCGCATGGCACAACATCTTATTTTTGTGACTATTTGTGCCAAGTATTTTCAAGTATTTTCAAAATCAATTGATCTATGAAGAATTGAAATTAAAAAATAAAATGTGAAAAAATGTGTTCATTATATATATTTTAATTCATCAAATCTTGCCCAATAATTCGTGACGTTTTGTCCACTCTATAAAACTGAAGTGGTGGGGGTTTGTCCACTCTGTAAAATTTAGTGATGGGGTTTTGTCCACTCTATAAAATTAAGTGGTGGGGTTTTGTCCACTCTAAAGATTAAAGGTGGTGGGGTTTTAACTGGTGGGGTTTTGTCCTTCATTCGTTTTTGTATCCCTTCAAAGATGGACCCCTATCCCTACTGGGTAGTGGAGACAGACGGACGGAGCCTATTTCTATATATCCCTTCTTTCTTCGAAAAGGCGGGGAACAACACCTGATAATGTAACAAGGATTAGCTTTCAATAATTTTTTATCAATTTAACAAAACATCACATTATAATTTGATTTTCGAGCGGTGATGTACTGTGTCATGATAACCTAATGACGTGACTCAGTCGAGTATGAATTGGGCGGACTCCGTGGCCGAGTGGTTAAGGTCGCTGACTTGAGATAACTGGTCCCTCACTGCTGTAGGTTCGAGCCTCACTTGGGTCGAAATCTTTCATGTGAGGAAGCCATCCAGCTGGCTTACGGAACGTCGGTGGTTCTACTCGGGTGCCCGTTCGAGCCTGAGATAATGCCCGGAGGGGCACCTGGGGTCTGCCTCCACCAATAAAAGCTGGAAAAAAATCGACGAAAAAATCTCGGCGGGACGCTCTAGGATGGCCCGACTTGAGTGTACGGTCGCCCATATGGGCTTTCCGGCGGCGACCTTAAATAAACGCATTAAAAAAAACAACATCATATTTCTAAAGCGCAGCGCTAACCTTGTATCATAAACAAATATTTTACATAATCGGCCCTCTATATGTATGTTAAGATATATCTAATTATAGTATATAACCAAATATTAAACTCAAAAAAGTTTGTTTCAAGCATACTTAAGCTAAAAGTGCAATGGTACTAAAACTTTTGTCTGTTAGACACGGTGAAACCTCTCCTCGTGACGTTCCCGAGTGTCAAAGGTCATGTTTACAATTGAAAACGTCAGTTGAGCAAAAATATGTCAAAAATGATTCAAACTGAAGATAAAATTCCGTTATTGGGAAGCACATCTTCAAATGTTGCATTGAAACCACCAAAAGGTATTTATTGATGTCATATTTTCCACAAAAAGAGGTGAGAAATACGGCTTTGTTTTGGATAACTATAATAGTTTTCGGATGTAATGTGATTTCGGATTTCGTCTCCATGTAGACTTATTTCACATCTTGAAAAACATGGTTAAGTATATTTGTGTTTATTAACCCCTACCATGTTATTCATCTTAAATATGATTGTCCATCTTGCAATCCGAACAAAAAATTCCATTGTGCACATTTGTCAGGCTCAGCCATATATAATAATCTGATCGATAATTAATCAGGATTTGAAGATTTGAAAAGGTCATAGACTCATATAATTTTGGGAAAAATATTTCAAAATACACATGTTAATTTTTAATGATATATACAGTTGGAATGTCAGACATAATCCCCTTCGGACTAAATCCCCTTCGCCTATCCGGACAAAATCCCCTTCATGGGTGGACATAATCCCCTTCATGTTTTTGCAAGGCTGGACAAAATCCCCTTCACTACCCCTCATAGGTTTCTAATGTATTATTATGCTCCATAAAAATTTATGAATAATGTATTACTATACTCCCTAAATTTTTTATTTATAATTATGTATCAATAGTTAACCTTTATTTAGTTAAGAAGTTTTCATTAAAGTTATTGTAAATTATCAACTGCATAACACATATTTGATTAGGCAATTTCTTTAATTTTTTTAAATTGATTAGTATGAACAGGTACCTAATATACGTACCTGGTGTGTATATAATAAGTATGTGTAAATGCATGTGCTGGGATTGACAAATATAAATTTTATTTGGATTTAAATTTTAATAGGCATTTTGAGATCCACACATCAAGTGTCTGTGTAAAAGCACTAAACAAAGTGTCTTAAAAAGTCAAAGATTTTGAATTTTAGAGTAACTTAGATATAAAATTCCGACACACATTAGCAAAATTAAAGAAAGGTCGCTATTGATAGTCTTTGTTTATATATATATTGATAATTATGTGTCAGAATTTATAAGTAATTTCTAGGGATTCCCTTTCAAATGAAAACATATTTTCAAAGAAATTCAACAGAAACATTAATGCAGACTGACTTAGATTTTTGGAATCTTACGCATTTATGGGGGAAAATATTTTGTCTTACATTTTGAGCAGTTCTGTTTATCAGTAGTAACTACAATTAATAAAAACTAGAAATGTGTCCATAGGACACGGGTGCCCCCACCGCGGCACTGTTCTGCCAATCTTTTTACTAAGTCAAGGGAAATAACTACAAATACTGGATAAATCCACAAGCGAAACCCCAGGTGCAAATCTAAATATGCTGAGCAACCTGCCCATAAGGTTTAATGACTATGTCAAATCCTTTTTGAGTAACTTGTGACACAAGTTGAAAATTGCAAAAAAATTTCTAAGTGAAGGGCAATAACTCTAAAAATACTAAATAAATCCAGACGAAAATACCTGGTGCACAACTGCACATGCTGATCAATATTCCTGTAAAGTTACATGACTCAAAGTCAAATACTTTTTGAGTTACGTGCGACACATGTTGAAAATTGCAAAATTTTACTAAGTCAAGGGCAATTACTCTGAAAATACTAAGATATATAGACGAAAATACTCAGGTGCACAACTACACATGCTGATCAACATTCCTGTAAAGTTTCATGACTCTAGGTCAAATACTTTTTGAGTTAAGTGCGACACAAGTTGAAAATTGCAAAATTTTACTAAGTCAAGGGCAATAACTCTGAAAATACTAGAAATATCCACACAAAAATACCCAGGTGCACAACTACACATTCTGATCAACATTCCTGTAAAGTTTCATGACTCTAGGTCAAATATTTTTTGAGTTACATGCGACACAAGTTGAAAATTGCAAAATTTTACTAAGTCAAGGGCAATAACTCTGAAAATACTAAAAAATATCCAGACAAAAATACCCAGGTGCACAACAACACATGCTGATCAACATTCCTGTAAAGTTTCATGACTCTAGGTCAAATACTTTTTGAGTTACATGCGACACAAGTTGAAAATTACGTGTGACACAAAAGTGAATGGACGGACGGACGGAAGGACGGACGGACAAGGGTAAATCTAAATGCCTGCCACTAACGTCGGGGCACAAAAATTGCATGTTTGATATTCTAATTAATGTAAACTTTAGAAAAAAATCCTAAGGTACTGACAGGGATTTGAACCATTGACCTCTTGATACAATATTGAAGGACAATCAACCATGTCACTGGAGTATAGCTATATACTGTGTTTGTGCAAGTTAAAACCCAACCCCCCAAAAAACTGGCTTTGTGTAAAAACCTGATATAACAAAAACTTTATTTACATGCATATTAGATTATATTTTCAATGATATATATAAAGGGTGAGCCAAATAATTGAAATCTAGCTATCAGGATTTAAACAACCTAGGAAATTGTTTATCAAACAATTAACAATACTGTACAGTGATTATAAAGCTTAAATTTCAAACTTAGAGATAAATGTAATGATGTTAAGGCAAAACCTCCCCCCCCCCCCAAAGATATGGTTTTCGGTTTCCCTGTACCTACCCTCTTTAAAAAGCCTTCCCTAGACTTAATTTGCTATATTGCTTTTTCAGTTTTTTTACTATAAAAATATAGTATACATGTATATAGAATTATATATAAAGTATAAATATTATTATATAAAAACATGTATTCCTTCCTACATACCTTCATTTTTTTAATTGGGGCAGGGAATGGGGGAGACCTTTAAGAACATAATAGAATAAAACATTTTCCTTACCTAAAAAAATTAAATAATCCATTAAACAGGATGGGGATACAGACATATGCTGGCATTCGTAGCATTTCTTGGCTTTGTCAATGTGTACTGTATGAGAGTAAACCTGAGCGTTGCCATGGTTGATATGGTGAAACCCAGGCACAAAGATGACCTGAATTCTACATCTGATGAGTGCCAAGATCACAACCTCAACAATACCAAAAGTAATGTAAGTATTTGAATATAACAGGAGTATGAAAATTTTTTTAGTCAGATGCAAGGGCACAGATTTTCCATATAAAAACTTCTCTCCTCCTTACAAATATTACTCTCCTGCATAAACTGCCCTCATCTATTAATACAAACTGCTCTGTAAAACTGTTCTACTACCCCTTACACAAACTATTCTCCTCTCCTCCTATTTACACAAACTACTCTCCAATTTAAACAAACCAGTCTCCTTCTAAAAACATAGACAACTACTCTTCTTCTATTTACACAAACTAGTCTTCTTCGATTTACACAAACTACTCTCTTTCTATTTACACAAACTTCTCTCTTTCTATTTACACAAACTACTCTCTTTCTTTTTACACAAACTAGACTCTTTCTATTTACACAAACTACTTTCCTATTTAAACAAACAAGTCTCTTTCTAATAACATAGACAACTACTCTTCTTATATTTACACAAACTAGTCTTCTTCGATTTACACAAACTACTCTCTTTCTATTTACACAAACTACTCTCCATCTATTTACACAAACTACTCTCTTTCTATTTACACAAACTACTCTCCATCTTTTTACACAAACTACTGTACTTATATTTACAGAAACTACTCTCCTTTTATTAACATAGACTACCTTCCATCTATTTACACAAACAACTCTACTTATATTTACACAAACTACTCTCCTTTTATTAACATTACTCTGCATTTATTTACACAAACTATTCTACTTATATTTACACAAACTACTCTCCTTCTATTAACATAGACTACCCTCCATCTATTAACACAAAATACTCTCCTTTCTTTTAATATAGACTACCCTCCATCTATTTACACAAACTACTGTTCTTATATTTACACAAACTACTCTCCTTCTATTAACATAGACTACTCTCCATCAATTTACACAAACTACTCTACTTATATTTACACAAACTACTCTCCTTCTATTAACATAGACTACCCTCCATCTATTTACACAAACTACTCTACTTATATTTACACAAACTACTCTCCTTCTATTAACATAGACTACCCTCCATCTATTTACACAAACTACTCTTCTTCTATTAATATAGACTACCCTCCATCTTTTTACACAAACTACTGTACTTATATTTACACAAACTACTCTCCTTCTATTAACATAGACTACCCTCCATCTATTTACACAAACTTCTCTTCTTATATTTACACAAACTACTCTCCTTCTATTAACATATACTACCTTCTATCTATTTACACAAACTACTCTTCTTATTTTACACAAACTACTCTCCTTCTATTAACATATACTACCCTCCATCTATTTACACAAACTACTCTTCTTATATTTACACAAACTAATCTTTTTCTATTAACATAGACTACTTTCAATCTATTTACACAAACTACTCTTCTTATATTTACACAAACTACTCTCCTTCTATTAACATAGACTACCCTCCATCTATTAACACAAACTATTCTTCTTATATTTACACAAACTACTCTCCTTCTATTAACATAGACTAGTCTCCATCAATTTACACAAACTATTCTTCTTATATTTACACAAACTACTCTTCTTCTATTAACATAGGCTACCCTCCATCTATTTACACAAACCACTCTGCTTCTATTCACACTAACCACTTTCCTTATATTTACACAAACTACTGTACTTATATTTACACAAACTACTCTCCTTCTATTAACATAGACTACCCTTCATATTTTTACACAAACTACTCTTCTTATATTTACACAAACTACTCTTCTTCTATTAACATAGACTACTTTCCATCTATTTACACAAACTACTCTTCTTCTTTAAACGCAAACCACTCTGCTTCTATTCACAATAACCACTCTCCTTTTTAAACAAACCACTCTCATTGCTAAATTTGTATTTGTCTAAAACTTTGTACTATCATGTCATTTTAAAAGCTGTGTGTTTCTATAAGTAATGGTACTGTGGTACTGTAGAACAGCTTTAAAAGCTATTGTATCATTTTGGTGAGCTGAAGTTGATAAGGATTCTATTGGCTTACATTGTATTATTTTGTGACAGAATCAGTGTATAAAATAGTTTTTAGTGGTGCCAATATAACTAAAGGTATAAATAGTGTTTGGTGTCAATATGACTAAATGTGTAAATTATGATAGTGTTGTTGTGTCATTATGACTAAAATAACTATATAGTGTTGTATTGTCAATATGACTTAAATGTGTAAATAATGCTGTGGTGTTTTTATGGCTAAATGTGTAAATAGTGCTGTGGTGTTTTTATGGCTAAATATGTAAATAGTGCTGTGGTGTTTTTATGGCTAAATGTGTAAATAGTGCTGTGATGTTTTATGGCTAAATGTATAAATAGTGCTGTGGTGTTTTTTATGGCTAAATGTGTAAATAGTGCTGTGGTGTTTTTATGGCTAAATGTGTAAATAGTGCTGTGATGTTTTTATGGCTTAATGTGTAAATAGTGCTGTGGTTTCATTATGACTAAATAACTATTTAGTGCTGTAGTGTCAATATGACTTTAATGTGTAAATAGTGCAGTTGTGTTATTATGGCTGAATGTGTAAATAGTGCTGTGGTTTCATTATGACTAAATGTGTAAATAGTGCTGTGTTTTTTTATAGGTAAATGTGTAAATATTGCTGTCTTTTTGTAAGGGTCTTATTGCACAAATATTCTCAGGATTCAATTATTAACTACAAAATTTTGTTTAATTTTGAAAAAAAAAAAAACATTTGTAAGGTTTGCCCTGTTAAGTTGTTATTTTGATAGTCTTAAATGTAGCTTGAAGTGAGGAAGGATTAATTCTTCTGTATATCCTGTCAGCAACTTGTATTACATGTTTTTAATATTGACAAGAAGTTTAAAATAAAACAGCAAATAAAGACTGTTTTCATTGAAAAATGATGCACAATAAGAACATTCATTTAAAAATGATGCACATTAAGAAGATTCTTTGAAAAATGATGCACAATAAGAAGATTATGTCAGATGTGCACGCAGCTGTTGAACATCTAACATAATTGGTCTTAATCTGAATACCTCAGCTATTATTCATAATAACTGCTGAGTTAATACGGATTGAAAGTAGTTCCACCACATGGTTTCAGATGTAAACTGCAACAGGGAGTGTAATCTTTCATAAAGTAAAACAAATGCATATATTTGATATCCAAAAGAAAAGTAAGTATTTCTGTACAATTATGATTGAAGATATGTGTGACAACCATTTTTATGGTATATATATATACTGCATAGTATGCAAAGTATTTTAAAGCCGGCTTAAACCATTTTTCCAGAAATTTATTTGCACTGTTACAAATATACATATATATATATATATATACGCAGCCATATTCACTTTAAACAAACAAATCAATAGATTGGTGCAAAATGGACATAATTTCTTCATAATGTAATATGAGTTACAGCTGTTTTGCACCAAACCCTCGTTAAATCCTTTATATTTTACAGGAAGGAGAGTTTGACTGGAGTACAGATCTACAGGACTACATTCTGGGATCATTCTTCTATGGTTACATTCTTACACAGATCCCAGGGGGTTGGATGGCTGAGAAGTTTGGGGCTAAGTGGCTGTTTGGGCTAGGTGTGTTATGTACATCTGTGCTTACACTGGTAACACCAATAGCTGCACGGTACCATGTAGGAGTCTTTATTGCAGTGAGAGTATTGGAGGGACTAGGAGAGGTATATACATGTTTATAAGTTAATTGTATCAATAAATGCAGCATTATAAGTATCATCCATGGTATCTTCCTGATAGTTAAAGGCCCATTAATGAGTATGTCCTAACAACTCTACAGTTGATAAACTAACTGCCCTTAGCTGATGTGGCACATTAACTAACCCACTTAGGTCAACTAAACCCCTAAAGCAGTTCCTTTAAGTAAATTCTAGGTTTAATAATTATTCCAACTTCAGATAAAACCCTGTTAAAAGCTTTTTTATTTTTGGTTTTCTGTCACAGTACTTAATGGTTATATACAAGCTAAACCATCTTGAGTATGTTGTAATTAGTAGAGTTAAACATTTTCAGAAGTTTGCATGGAAGACACCAATTATTTCACATTTAATGCTGCCTTCTTTACAAATCAATTATCTAAACATTAAAAACACAGAAGAAAAATGATATTGATTTCTGGAGCTTTAATTTGCATTAAATGTAGCATCACTGATCAGTGTATCTGACATTGATATTGATAACTGAAGAAACATCATGTCACAAAAGGGCATGTGATATTGGTATTGTCAACTGAAGTAACATCATCTCACAATAGGGCATGAGACATTGATATTGTCAGCTGAAGTAACGTCATGTCACAATAGTACATGTGACATTGATATTGTTAACTGAAGTGACATCATGTCAAAAAAGGGTATGTGACATTGATATTGTTAACTGGAGTAACATCATCTCACAATAGGGCTTAAGACATTGATATTGTTAACTGGAGTAACATCATATCACAATAGGGCATGTGATATTGGTATTGTCAACTGAAGTAACATCATGTCACAATAGGGCATGAGACATTGATATTGTCAGCTGAAGTAACATCATGTCACAAAAGGGCAAGTGACATTGATATTGTAAACTGAAGTGACATCAGGCACAATAGGGCATATGACATTGATATTGTTAACTGAAGTAACATCGTATCACAAAAGGGCATCTGACATTGATATTGTTTACTCAAGTAACATCATGTCACAATAGGGCATGAGACATTGATATTGTTAACTGGAGTAACATCATGTCACAATAGGGCATCTGACATTGATATTGTTAACTCAAGTAATATCCTGTCACAATAGGGCATGAGACAGTGATAAAGTTATCACTCGTCCTTTCAGCAAGTCAAGGGCTATTTATTTCAGCTAGAAAGTTATGATTGGGATACATTGTATCTTCCCAGGGCTTGCATTTAGTTCAAAATTTTGGAAGTCAAAATTTCAAATCAAAGAGGAAATGATCCTGAACTGAACAGGAGTCCTGTTTGCCTGTGAATTCTTTTAGTAATTACAGGAATAACCTGTTTAAATGCTTATTTTTCACTGCTTGTTTATAATATGGATAAAGTCTCTACATGTAAGAAAATAAACAAAGTTAAGAAACAATGATCATTTATTCCAACCTCTCAAACCAAAATTTTATTAATCCAACCTCAAACCAAAATAGGACTTAACCCATTACTGCACTAAGGTGATGATATGTTCTGTTTCACAGGGTGTGACATTTCCTGCTATGCATGCTATGTGGGGAAAATGGGCTCCGCTGTATGAAAGATCCAAGCTGGCTGGATTCTCATATGCAGGTATAGCAGCTTTGTTTCTCTTTTCAAACTCACCATGCATTTCTCTATTTATACCTTACAATTCTGGAACCTTAAATGATAAACTTTTGCCACCAGTATAGAGCCAGGCCAGCCTGCACATCTGTGCAGTCTGACCGGGGCTCTAACATGTTGGTAGTTCAATTTGTTATCTTGATATTTGAAATCCTGTGAAGGTTGAAGTGGTTTTGACCCCTGATGTTGCTTTGAGGTTTGTTACACCTTCTGTTAGCCAAAATAATCTTTCCTTTTTCAGGGACAACACGTGACCTATATTTTGTTGGTGCATGGTAAAATCAAGCAAACAAACAAACAAATCCAGTGCTAGAATTTGTTCAATAAAAGTATTTAAATTTAATTTTATTTCAACTGGTATTCTATCATTAATTTATTTAATTTTAGGTGCACAACTAGGGACAGTATTTGCTCTGCCAATTTCTGGTTGGTTGTGCGATCAGAAAACATTTGCTGGTGGTTGGCCATCTGTATTCTATGTATTTGGTAAGTCTGACTTTTTAGACAGTAAAAATTCTTGATTATATGATATATTCTTAAACTTTAGATTTATTGATTAATGGTAACTTGATAATGGTTTAAACATTTGATAAAAAGAAACCGTCCATTTATAAACAAATTTTATACAGCATATTACCGAACACTTTCTATGTAATATGGCTTTTTATTTCATATATTATAGACCATGGTATTTTATGTTTATGGTTTATCATTTGATATTTACAGGAGGTATTGCATGTGTATGGTTTCTGGTTTGGACATTGTTTGCATATAACACTCCTGCAGACCATCCTATGATTTCTAGAGAAGAGCGAGAATTTATCGAATCAAGTGTTGGTATGAAAGAGGTATTGTAGATATTGGAAATTTATTACTTCTAATGATCATTTGGTTTTTATGTCTCTTTTATATCAGGACATAGCCTAACTGATGTGATGAACACAAGTGTTCAGCAGGTGGATTGTTCACCACTACGACAAAAAAACAACAAAAAACAAAAAAAAACAAGGAAACATATAGATCTATATTTACATATTTACTGATGCATACATCTTTTTTTATTTGGGAGCAATGTAGAATCTTTTTGTATGTAGGCATTAAAGTTGCATGTTTATAACTTTTTACAAAATGATGGGATTATTCATTTAAATCAACATTAGTAAATTTTATATAATTTAATTTATCCTTTGAAGATACATGCATTTCAATTTTTGTCCCCCACCTTTTCGAAGAAAGGAATAGGCTCCTTCCGTCTGTCCGTCAATCCAGATCTAGCATTGATCATAATTTTGGAATGAAAGTCCTGAGATCCATACCTCAATCTTTTGAAATAGCACAATTTTATGCTAATTATTTTAATAAATAAAACTTCCCTGAGGCGGGGACGGTGGTAACTCTGTTACAAATTCTTGTATAGCCTACCATTGATAGGTAAGGAAAAGTAGGGGGGGAGGTAAATCATAAAATAGTAGTCATTTGTTAAAAAATAAACAAGACAGGTTAAATGCATCTGGGAGGGGGTACACTTTAACGCTGTGATTTTGCTACCCAACCCTATCCCTCCTTCCCTCTCTTCTCAAAAACAAGTCCTCTATATAATCCTGCTTACTGAACTGGTGATAAGCTTTTACACATACAGTATGTATGATTATTTCAGGATATTGCAACACCATGGGGAGCTATTCTGAGATGTCCAGCAGTGTGGGCGGTCTGTATAGCTCACTTCTCCAACAACTGGGGCTTTTATACCATGCTTACAACACTACCAAGCTATATGAAAAATATCCTAAAGTTTGATATAAAAACCGTGAGTAAACCAAGCTGTATGTAAAATATCCTAAAGTTTGATATAAAGACAGTGAGTAAACCAAGCTGTATGAAAAATATCCTAAAGTTTGATATAAAGACAGTGAGTAAACCAAGCTGTATGAAAAATATCCTAATATTTGATATAAAAACAGTGAGTACACCATGCTGTATGTAAAATATCCTAAAGTTTGATATAAAGACAGTGAGTAAACCAAGCTATGTGAAAAATATCCTAAAATTTGATATAAAGACAGTGAGAAAACCAAGCTGTATGTAAAATATCCTAAAAATTGATATAAAGACAGTGAGTAAACCATGCTGTATGAAAAATATCCTAAAGTTTGATGTACACCAATCTATATATGAAAAGTATCCTAAAGTTTGATATAGAGAAGGTGAGTTCATCAATATAGTAAGATCTTATTCAAGATGTAATTTTATATAAAAAAAATTATACATTGATGAAATTACATCATTAGAATTAATACATATTTTCTGATCAACTATCTGTATTCCACAAATTGTATCTTCACAAAAATTATGTGGTGTCACCCATTGAATATTTATAAAGTTCATGGTGTCATGGCATTCCATATGACATGTTGGATAAAAAGATTAAGAAATCTGTAATGTTAGATAAAGAGATAAAGAAACTGTGTTAGATAAAGAGATAAAGAAATCTGTAATGTTGGATAAAGAGGAAAAGAAATCTGTAATGTTAGATAAAGAGGTAAATGAATCTGTGATGTTAGAAAAAGAAATCTGTAATGTTATATAAAGAAGTAAATAAATCTCTAATGTTAGATAAAGAGATAAAAATTGTATAAATGATTATCTTATATACATAACATTGAAAAAAGAGACAACTCAACATGTTTTATTTTAATAGGTATATCTGACAAACTGTTAAAGTATTGGCTCACTTGTTGAATGTTTCTTTCAGAATGGTATGTTATCAGCGTTACCATATTTGGGCTGTTGGATAGGTCAGAACTCATCTGGAATTACAGCTGATTATCTATCTACGTAGCAAGGGCTACCTTTCTACTGTTGCAACTAGAAGATTATTCACTGTTTTTTGGTATGAAAATATTTTTTTTTAACCAAATTTTCTATCTCCCTTTGGGCCACTTTGGGCAAATGGTTTTAAAATGGTTTGGGCAACTACAATGGGGGAAATTTTCAAAAGTATTTCAAATATGATAAAAAAAAATTTGGGAAAAGTAAATTTGTTTATATTTTAACAAAAAATCACGAACAAAAAAAGTTCATCTAGTTTTTTGTGGGTTTAAATATGAACTTTTATGTGAGAAAAAAAATTTTTGATTTTTTGAACAATTTTTTATTTCTTTTACTTTAAAATAAAAGGGAGTATCCATTTATGTTTTCTCACACTTCCCTTTTTTAGTTTTAATTAAATTTCCTTTGACATTTAAAACTTTTGTTTTTACCCTACTTTCCCGAAAGGAAACCCCAAATTTAAATTTTAAGGGGTTTTTAAACCCAAAAAACCCGTTTTAAGGACCAATTTTAAAAATATTTTGTTATTAATGACAAATATCCAAATAAATAACCAACATTTATGCATATAATATATCAAAGCTCTTATTACATTTAGACATAAATAACCAAGATCAAGACTGTATTCAAATAATAAATTACCAAGACTTAGATTATAGCAGAATTTAAATAACAAATATTAAAAAAAAATTTAATAGGTAAAGAGTTATATTACTGAGGTCTAAATTATATCCAGATAATGATTTGAACATTTCAATATGAAGATCACCAATATATTCAAACATAAATTAATAGAACCCTGTTCACATGAAATGTTTAAGATCTGTATAATATATTGTTTCAAAAATAATTTTGCAAGATCTAGATAGAACGTAAGGTCATGTGGTTCTAGGCCTCACAATGGTTTAAATATTTCAGGTCTTGTGGTTTTAGGCCTCACAATGATTGAAATATTTCAGGTCTTGTGGTTTTAGGCCTCACAATGATTTAAATAGTTCAGGTCTTGTAGTTCCTGGCCTGACAATGATTTAGATATGTCAGGTTTTGCAGTTCATGGCGTCACAATGATTTAAATATTTCAGGTCGTGCAGGTCTTGCAGTTCCTGGCATCACAATAATTTCAATATTTCAGGTCTTGTGGTTCCTTGCTTCACAATGATTTCAATATTTCAGGTCTTGCGGTTCCTGGCCTAACAATGGTTTAAATATTTCAGATCTTGTGGTTCCTTGCTTCACAATGATTTCAATATTTCAGGTCTTGCGGTTCCTGGCCTCACAATGATTTAGATATTTCAGATCTTGCAGTTCCTGGCATCACAATGATTTCAATATTTCAGGTCTTGCAGTTCCTGGCCTTACAATGGTTTAAATATTTCAGATCTTGTGGTTCCTTGCTTCAAAATGATTTCAATATTTTAGGTCTTGCGGTTCCTGGCCTCACAATGATGTAGATATTTCAGATCTTGCAGTTCCTGGCATCACAATGATTTCAATATTTCAGGTCTTGCAGTTTCTGGCCTTACAATGGTTTAAATATTTCAGGTCTTGCGGTTCCTTGCTTCACAATGATTTCAATATTTCAGGTCTTGCAGTTCCTGGCCTCACAATGATTCTTAATACAGTTTGCTGGATGTAACCAGACAGCAGCTGTTGCCATGCTTGTGTTATGTCTCACAGCAGGGGGCTTCACAATGGGTGGATTCCAGGTCAATCATATTGATCTGTCTCCAAATTTCGCTGGTAAGTTTGCTTGAAAAATAAAGGTGTTTTTTTTTGTTAGTGAATATGCTATAATAATGACACTGAGAAGTAAGAAAAATGGAATATTTTGACAAGTGTGAAGCACAAGTGAAAACGTGGGAATTTTCTCACTTCATTGTTATTCAACACTACTTTGTCTAAATTAAGCTGTTAGTCTATCTTCTATAATCTGTACGTCCAGCTTGCTTGATGGTTCTACCCAGGTGACAGCTATTGTCTGAAATAATGTACATCTAGAGCCTGTGAGGTCTCCCTGTACCAGCAAAGCTTGCGGAAAAAACCATAATTATGACCTGTACAGTGTTGTGACCAATATAATACCTTTGATGTCTGAAATAACATTGGGACATGTCTGTAGTATCATTTAGACATTATCATCTGTAATAACATTGAAACATTATTGTTTTGTAAATAACATTTAGACATTACTGTCAATAATGTCATTCAAACATTATTCTCTGTTATGTCATTTAGACATGTTTGTCTGTAATGTCATTTAGACATTATTCTCTGTTAAGTCATTTAGACATGAATCTATGTAATGTCATTTCAACATTTTCATTTAGACATTATTCTCTGTAATGTTATTCAGACATTATTGTCTGTACTGGCATGCGAGCAGTTCCAGTACAGAAGCAGTACCTGTATTTTTTCATTTAAACGCTTGATTTTTACTTGCATTCTTCAAAAATTCATTTCAAATCAAGCAGATACATAAACGAGACAAAATCTAAGTGTCAGTTCGGCAGAACGTATAAAAAGTCTCATTTTAAATCACTTTCACCTGTGCGTCGTCAAAACGAGACCTTGTTTTCTCTGGGGGATTCCGTCCTTGCGCGCATGCGCAAAAATACTTACACGTGAGGCTTGTTAAAGGGTTTTTCACTAATACCACCTGTTTACAAATAAGTAGGCAATGTGATGAAAACTTGTTTAATTATCAGAATTTTGACCAATATTACTATATGAAATAATTTTATGGCTTTGATGCGTAAAATATCATGCATACAAGCATTGCTATTGCATGTGAATTGCATTGGGGAAACGGTACCGGGTAATAGATACCCTCGTTTAGTCTACGATCTATTTCCTGAAATTACATCTATTTATCTCATAGATAATGGTTTCTGTTCAACAATTGTAAATGAAAAATAGGTCTGATATAATAAAATTGTAATAATATAATGGGTTTAGTTTTTATGTACGGGGAACTACTTCTCTTCATACAAAATAATGGAAAAAAAAAAAAAAAAAACTATTAAAAAAAAAATTTCTAAAAAAAAAAAAAAAAAAAAAAAAAAAAAAAAAAAAAAAAAAAAAAAAAAAAAAAAAAAAAAAAAAAAAAAAAAAAAAAAAAAAAAAAAAAAAAAAAAAAAAAAAAAAAAAAAAAAAAAAAAAAAAAAAAAAAAAAAAAAAAAAAAAAAAAAAAAAAAAAACAAAAAAAATTAAATGGATAATTTCGGTACCCATATGAGGCCTCATAAGTAAGGGTTATTCTATGTTTAGAACATGATGGAATTTCCATGATTTGTGTGACGAGCCGACTATTGATGTGTAACATTCAAATTTTGGTGAGTGAGCGTAATAAAAAATAATGTTTAAGTTCGCATGCCAGTAATGTCATTTAGACATTATTCTATGTAATGCCATTTGTCTGTAATAACATTTAGACAATCTTCTCTGTTTTGACATTGACATTATTTTCTAAAAAGTCATTTTTACATTACTTTCTGTAATGTCATTTAGTCATTATTGTTTGTAATAAAATTTAGACATAGTTGTCTATAATAACATTTAGACATTGTCAATGTCATAAATTAATACAGTTTTAAATAATGAAATTTGATGGTAAGGTGCTGTTGTCTTTAACTCTTTTTTATATCAAATGTATAGATCCTGATCATATATATCTTTGTAGATATTTTGCAAACATTCAGTTTATGTAGAAATATATTTTTTTTGTTATTTGTTACTTACAGGAGTGCTAATGGGAATGTCTAACACCTGGGCTACTATCCCTGGTTTCTTAGGACCTGCAGTGGTTGGCTGGCTGACTCATAAACATGTAACAGAAATATTTTTAATTCATTATCAATCATTCAACATTCGGTTATTAGTATATGTTTTTTGAAACAAAGTTTTGCAACTTATACTAATCATATTCAACTCTGCCTATGGGAACAAACAAGTGGTGTGATATAGAAAAACATTGGCATGGCCCAGGGTAGGCCTGAAATCTGCAACCCCTGGGGTTGAGAGGCTTAACCCTTAACCACTAGGCCATGGAATTATTTGGTCTTGGCTGTTTATAGAACATTACGAGTTTGGCCAGGAATAAAAATAAAATGATAAATTATAGATATAATGTGTTTTTAATTTTCAAATTAGTTTTAAATTTTAACATTGTTTTATATTATTAAGCTAAATTGTGCAGATAACTTGTACTTTTGTAACATGGTTGTGACTCCAGAAGGGCACAAACACTATCTAGATTGAGTGCAGACACCTCAACCACAAGCCACCTCAACCCTTACACTTATATGTGCAATAAAGATAGCGGCTGTATCAAGCTATTCAGTACTTACTTATATTAGTTAAAAGACTATTAAGTCTTTGGCTGAGTGGTTAAGGCTGTTGAATTCAAACCACTTACCTGTCACTGTTGTGGGTTCAAATCCTTCCAGAAACATAAGAATCTTTCATGTAAGGAAGCTATCGAGCTAGATTACTGAATGTCAGTGGTTCTTCTCAGATGCTCACTTGTGCCTGAAGTTATAACTGGAAAGGCACCTACAGTCATGACAGTTTTCCTTCACCAGTAAAGCTTAAAGGTCATCATGTGACCATAAAATTGTTGGTGCAACATTAAACCCACAAAAAATAGTTATTAAAGTAAAGATGTTAATACAAAAAAAAATGTATTTGCAAAGGTTTGAAAAATTTCAATATGTCTTCTGAAAATGAATTTGTTAACTACGCAGTAAAGCCATGGTCTAAAGATATTTGAAGTTTTAGCCAGGCTTCCCTTAATTTAAATTTTCTGATATACAAAATTTTAAAAGTAAAAGAATGAACTAATGAAATAATCAAACCATTCAGTACTTATATTTGTTGAAATACTATAAAGTCAATGACTGAGTGGTTAAGGTCATTGACTTCAAACCACTGGCCCGTGGTCTAAAAATATTTGAAGTTTTAGCTAGGCTCCCCTTAATTTAAATTTTCTGATTACAAAATTTTAATAGTAAAAGAATAAACTAATGAAATAATCTCGGGGAAAAATGGCTATATATGAAACCTTTGCAAGTCTTGGCATAGGATTTTCTTATTAGTTTTGATTTTATTAATAAACTTTCCAAATAATGGCCCTCTGAATATATTAATTAATAATAATACTTAATACCATATATGTGCAAAAATATTAAAACCCAGGGATAATAGAGCAAAGTTATTAGAACTTTTTATGAAAACATAATGAAATTTATTAGGTATAATTCAGAATATTACTGATTTTTTTTTTCTTCCGAAATATCAAATAAGCTATTAATGATGTTTTTAGGGTAATATTTTTAATACGTTCTAAACTTCATATCAGCTGATGAAGCTTATTAAAGTGAAACATGTTTCGATGAACTTGTGTTGGTTTGTGATCTTTTTAAAATATTGTATAAAACAGTAATAGATGATTTATTTTCTTTTATAATGTTTTTTTTACATGCCAAATGTGGTGTCTATTAACGTAGATGTAGTGTTTGGTAAGTTTATGTAATTTCCTTTCAA